CAGGGTGGGGAAATGTGGACATAAAAAGTTCCTTTTAGTTCTTTTTCATTTTGCCTGCAAAGCCTAAGGGCTGGTAAGTTCTTCTTCCAGTCTACCCTTAATCATTTTGACTGTTCATTTTTTTTCCTGGTCGAACAATGCCTCCTTGTTGCTTCCTAGCCCTTCCACTTCAGCCCCTTAGGCCTGGGGGAGGGTTGGTGAGAATCAAGGCTAATGGAGTCAGGAGGGGGGCCCCCCCTGCCTGCCTGCTTGTGGGCAGTGTTCCCAGCAGGGGCTTTAACCAGAGGCGGGATGTTAGAGCTGTGTTGTCGCCCCCCTCCTTTGGTAAAACCCAAAGTTCCTTGTTTTTATTGATGTATTTTTGTTCCTCTTTGAACACAAAGCCATGGTTTTTGAAGGGGTCTCAACATGAAAGGGGTGATGTTCCCTGCAAAAATGAGCTGGGCTTTCGGAATCGCAGATCTGTCCCTGTTCTGCTGGATTATATAGCTTACTGCAGAGCCTGGGAGAGCTGCAGTCCTGCACAACGCCCTGGCCCTGTCACCTAGGAACGGCTTCCCAGAATCCTCCCTGCCCTGCAGTCCTTTGGAGCAGCCTGAGTGACTCAGAGGTCCTCAGGGATAACTCCTCCCCTGGGACAGAGGCCACTTTTCCTGCGTCCCTTAGGTCATTGTCCTATTGAAGGTTTCAAAGGTCAGGGTGGGAAATGGGCTGGGTCTGAAGGATGAAAGCACTTTGTTTGGTTACCCTGCCTACTGCGTCTTCACCAAGCTCTCAGAGCTGGGGCTGGATGAGGGCCCATCTGCCTGGACAAGTCAGCCTGCCCTCAGCTGGACATTGAATAATGTCTGTGTCCTTGACACCAAGTCTCAGTTTCTCCGTCTATAAAATGGGTGTCCTGATAATGCCTGTATTTTCCTTTTTTTTTTAAATAATGTTTATTATTTTTATTTTATGTGTATGCACATATTGCCTGCATGTAGGTAAGTGCACCCGTGTCCTGCAGTGCCTGCAGAGGTCAAAAGAGGCTGTCGGATCCCCTGGGACTGGAGTTCTGGACAATTGTTAGCTGCCATGTAGGTGCTGGGATTCAAACCCAGGTCTTCTGCAAGAACAACCAGTGTTCTTAACTGCTGAGCCATCTCTCCAGCCCCAATACCTTTATTTTCTATCTTAGAGCCTTGTGGAGTGTTTGGGGAGATGCTGGTATTGGTCAGCTTGTGGAGGAACTGCTCTAAGCCTGTAGTATTTCCCCAAGCAATTGCCTTCCCTCTCCTGACCTGCATAAGCTTTTCTTGCTTTTTGCCTTCCTGGGTGCTAGGTCCCTTCCTTATCCCTCCCTACCCAGCCAACCGGCTGCTTCGTATCTTAGCCACCTGTCTCTTTCCCCCAGACCTATCAGTAGCAAGGACAGGTATGTGGAGCTGCATCTGTTGAGAACCTCACCCTCTGGGAATGATTAACAAGGGGCTGAGCCCAGGCTGGGCCAGAAAGGCACAAAGAGCAACTGTGCTCTGGACTTGGCTGGGCTGGGTAGCTCCTCATCTGTCTCAGAAGCCACACTGGTGTACACACAACATATCTCTCTCTCTCTCTCTCTCTCTCTCTCTCTCTCTCTCTCTCTCTCTCTCTCTCTCTCTCTCTCTCTCTCTCTCTCTCTCTCTCTCTCTCTCTCTCTCTCTCTCTCTCTCTCTCTCTCTCTCTCTCTCTCTCTCTCTCTCTCTCTCTCTCTCTCTCTCTCTCTCTCTCTCTCTCTCTCTCTCTCTCTCTCTCTCTCTCTCTCTCTCTCTCTCTCTCAACACACACTTGTACACACAACACATCTCTCTCTCTCTCTCTCTCTCTCTCTCTCTCTCTCTCTCTCTCTCTCTCTCTCACATTCCACTGGGGTCTAAGAGTGAAAAGTGACTTCAGCCTGAGGCCAGAGAGGGAGGGGAAAGGTAGAATTCTTAGCACTTGTTTCTGGAAGGAGGTCCAGAAGCCCTCTTCACAGACCACTACGTTGGGGGAAGGGTGCAGCACTGGTGTTCTGGTGTCCTCCTTTCTAGAAGGAAACAAACCTGAGCACCTGTCTCCTTCACTTCAGTTGTCTACAAGAAACCAGCCCAGGCCCCATGGGCCTGTCCTTGGTTGAGGATACTCTTGCAGTCTGTCTTCCCCTGCCCCCATAGCCCATAGACCCTCTCTCCCTCCCTTTTTCCCTCTCTCTGCTCTCCTGCCTGGAGCTGAGGATGAGGTTGCCATGGGAACCTGAAGCACAGCAAGCAGGGGAATGGAAAGGCAGGGTTGTCTTACTCAGGCTGGGGGCTGTGGGGAGGGTACTGGGCTGACCCAGCAGGGGGGACCGGAACCCTTGCCCTTCTGCCTGGGGGTGGGTGTGGCGAGGCAGTAGAAGGTTGGAAGCTCTAGAGCTCCTTAATCTAATTAATGTGATGCAGAATTAAAATCTTCCTCACTCTAGCAGCTCTAGAGTCCAAATCTGGGCTTCTGGGCTGTCTCCCTACCTTTGTTTTTTTTCATAGCATTAGTATTCCAGTTCTGGGGGGCTGAGATGAAGAAAATGCAAAGAGGCAGTGAAGGACTCTCAACTCCATCTAAAGTGCTTGATGTGTGTGGGAGGGCCTCCAGGGACTTGCTGGTGGGGTGAAGGGTGTAGCAGAGGGACAGGGTGAGTAGAGGAGAGGTGTGAATATCGAGGGTCCACATGTCCAGGAGACCTTTATCATTGTAGAGGACATACCTGTATGTTCATTGGGTGTGAGACAGATGCACTGGCGAGTGGGTGTGGCTGTCAGATGCATGTGTTGTGGTGCCTTGGGCCACTGGAGATGGCCTTCCACCTTAAGTCTGTATAAGGTCAGATGAGAATCCCTAGGGTTTGCAGATGGGTTTCTATGGACATCTACTTACAGAGCAAGCCTCTGCCTCCTGCCCTCCAGCCTGCCTCCCTTCTCCCACATAATGTTATCTAGTTCTCAGAATTGACCCTTCATACCTGTCTACAACTGAATCCCCCCACACTTCAGCCATGTGCAATTCTCATTCTCCTCACCCTGGTTTCTGTCCCACTTTGCCTGCAGAGTAGGCCCAGTTATGCAGATTATCCTTCCTAGGGCTTCAGACCAGCCAGTTATAGAGATTTTACTTCCATTCCTTCTGTCCTTTCTTTCTTGTCTCTAGGAACACATTCCCTGATTCCCCCCTACCCTGGAACCGCACAGGAATTTTGGATGGGCTCCTGAGCTGTGGGTGGCCTGGCTGTGTGTGGCACTGGGCCAGACCTGGGAGTTGGACCCTGTCTTTGCCTTCCTTTATCCACAGGCTATTTCTGCTGCCAGCTGCAGGCACCTGTGTTTGCTTTTCTCATGAAGCTCTCCTCCCTTTGCTGGGGGGAGCTGCTTGACTGACCAGGCACCCAGGGTGGCATTGCCTAGGTCGATGACAGTGACATCAGCATGGGGGAAGGAGAAAGGACTGTCACCCAGAAAGTCAGCAACCAAGCCAGAGCCCAGCACTGTGCCTTTTCTAGTCACACCCTCCTTGGTGGCATCCTCTCTACCCAAGTCCTATTCTTCACAAGTGGTCTGTGTGGTCCTAGGGTAGTGTGGGTGGCTGGAGGACATGCCAGGTTTGGTGAAAGCACAGGGAGGTGTCAGCTGCCCTGGGCATGTCAGCCAGACTGGCTGGGTCATGCCTGGAAAGACGTCCTACTGGGCCACCCATCTGTTCCTTACCTGGGTCTGGCTACCTGTGAATCAGGGTGTCTGCACTGGTCATAGCTGTAGGTGGGTGCAGTCACCCAGTGCTTAACTGGCCTTTCAGTGCAATTCCTGCTTGAAGAAGTCACTCACCAGTCCCTTAGCTAGGTAGGGCCTACAAGGACCTCCAGCTGTTTCACATCCCAGTACACAGACAATGGTGACTCAGGGCTGCCTCTCCCTGGCTTGTTAGCTGGGGACTTTCATGGTTACACAAGGGGTTTAGGAAAGTTTTGGTCCTAGTCTGATGTAATGTATTTTTTATTTAACAAATAGTTGTCAAGCTTCAGCTACTGTTCTAGGGGCTTAGATAAATCAATGGACAAGTGACTATAAAATCCTCTCCCCTCATGGACAAGTGGAGAGAAGAGAGGCAATGTGATAAATCTGTGAACTCCAGACTGCCAAGTGACAAGTGCCATGAGGATGTTATCCTTGAAATCCCCACAAGCTGGGTTCTGGGCCACTTGCCCCCTGCCACCTCTAAACCAGTTTTTTTCTAGGGATCAGGACTCTGGTCTGTGTTTGTGGGCCTTGGGCACATTGTTTAACCTCTGTAGCCTTAGTTCTCCTGTCAAAAGGGGATAGTGACAGCAGTTTCCACATAGGGTGACTGTGCATAAGTCATAAGCCCTTAACACAGAGCAGCATTTACTGTTGTTACCTGTTACCTGAAGGTGCCTGGCCTCCATCTGATCTTCCCACTGACCTCTGAGCCGGGCCCTCCTAGCCACTTGAAGTACCACTGTGGACATCTCCATCCTCTCACCGTTTCCTACAGGAAGCCTCCCAGATACACACGTCTTCTTTCCCTTTAGTCCCAGATCTCATGCTCCTCTGGTTGGTCTCCATTTCCAGTCTTAGTTCCTATGCTCATCTTCTCCACGGTCTGATTAGGCCTTCCTAGGTGGCTTGCTCCTCTGTGGGAGACTCTAAGGCATGGTTCTCCCAAACAAGGGTAATCTAAAACCCTCAAAGCCTCCATGTACCTCCCTCTGCCAGGTGGCCACTCAGCTGCTGTGTCTTGCCTCCTTAGCCAGCCCCAGCTGTGCCTGAGGAATCCTGATTCCCCCTTAGCATTGGCAGTGGGCAGGGGCTGCCCAATGATAAGAGATGCCCAGATGTCCTTGCCCTTCCTCAGAGTGATGCCCAGTCTTCTTTCTCTCCCACAGACACTACCCCAAGCAGTCCTTCACCATGGTGGCCGACACTCCGGAAAACCTTCGCCTCAAGCAACAGAGCGAGCTGCAGAGTCAGGTAAGGGGCAGGCAGCCTGTGGGTAGGGAAGGCCAGTGAAACCAGATTGGGTAAGGGTGCCTGTGGTTGCTCAGGCCTGGGGTGCCAAAATCCTAGGCCTGCCTGTGTCCTCGCCCCCACCACTGTGTCTCAGTTACATCACACTTCCTGACTTGTGCAGAGTCGGGAGGGCATGCCCCTTCCTACCTAAAGTGGCTTGGAGAGATGTGAGTGTCTGTCTGACTCTGCTGGGGCCCCTAGAGCCTGCCTCCTCCAGGAAGCTGTCTCTGGGGTCCTCTCCATTCATACCCACCACAGAGGAAGGGCTTGGGGCCAACCAGGAACTTGCCATTCTCTTACACAGCCTGTCCTCTGTGACTGTATCCCTAGACCTTATGCACCCCTGGGAGGGAGGGCAGTGTGAAGGGCTCTGTCCTCTATCTCTTTAACCTGACTTTCTTGAGTGGTACAGGCCCCGGTAGTAGGGAAGGGGGCACCATTCTGGCTCAGAGAAAACTGTCCTTGAGGTACACTGAGCAGCACTGAGCAGCGACCAGCCCTGAGACTTTAATAATGAACTCTGCCTAGAACCAGCCTGGCTTGCTTCAGCAAGGATTAAAGGATTAAATAAGAGACTCCCAGTAGGGGAATTGCCAGGTTGGCAAGATGCCCAGGGTGCCACCGGAGTCATAGGGGCTCACTCCTCATCCCTGAGGAGTGGGGCTCCTGCCAGACCATTTTGGGTGTTTTATTGTTGTTGGTGTTTTTTTGAGATAGTGTCAGGTAGCCTTTCTCAAGAAAGGCCTTAACTAGGCGTGGTAGCACATGTCTTTAATCCCAACACTCAGGAGGCAGAGGCAGGCAGATCTCTGAGTTTGAGGCCAGCTTGGTCTACATAGTGAGTTCCAGGCCAGTTGGGGCTACAAGAAGACCCTTGTCTCCAAAAGCCCTTGAATTTATGAGCCTCCTTACCTCATCCTTTCAAGTGTAGGGATTACAGTCCTGTGCCACTGTGCCCCAAATCTTGCTTCTAATCTTGATGTGACCTCCCTAGGTCCCTCTGGGAGAACCATCCCTGCTTCTTATAGGCTGCTCCGTGAACTCTCAGGTAGCCTTTTCCTGTAGTCCATGAGGAGAGTGCTGCTTTCCCATGGTATAGATGAGGCAACTGAGGCTCAAGAGACATTCAGTGCTGGCTGGGCTGAGGCAGCAGGCAGCAGAGTCGTGCTGTCACTGAAGTCTGTAGTGCTCAGTACACCAAGTGCTTTTTACCTCTTAAACCTTGCAACAGCTCTGTGCAGTTGGAAGTTCACCTCACTGTGCACAAGAGGTGCTGATGCTGATGCTTTAAGTGCAGAGTATTAACTTTTTTCCTGATACAAGGTCTCCTGCAGCCCAGCTATCTTCAGAATTACTGTGTAGCTCTCTTCTTGCCTCTACCTTCCAAATCTGCAATTGTAGCCATTTATCACAATGCCTGGCTAGGATACATTTTTTAAAAATTACATTTATTTATGTAGTGTGTGTGTGTGTGTGTGTGTGTGTGTGTGTGTGAGAGAGAGAGAGAGAGAGAGAGAGAGAGAGAGAGAGAGATATCATGTGAGATCAGAGGCCGGTGGCCTGGAACTTGCTATAGAGACCAGGCTGGCCTTGAACGCACAGAGATTCACCTGCCTTTGCCTCCTAAATGCTGGGATTAAAGGCATGTGCCACCTTGCCTGGCTGAGCCAGAGCTAATACATTTTTTAAAGTTAATTTCAAGTTTTAGAAATGCATCTTTTAATGTCTACTATCGAAAAACACAGAGCTCGAGCTGAAGGGAGATGGCTCAGTGGTTAAGAGCTCTTGCTGCTTTTGCAGAGGACATAAGTACAGTTCCCAGCATTCACATCAGGTGGCTCTGACTACCTGTAATTCCAGCTCCAGAAGATTCAGTACCCTCTTCTGGCCTCTGGGCACCTACAGGCACGTGCACAAACACCCACACAGACATACACAAAATTTATATATAAAAAAAAATCTTGCCAGGCGTGGTGGTGCACGACTGTAGTCCAAGCACTTGGGAGGCAGAGGCAGGCAGATCTCTGTGAGATCAAGGCCAGCCTGGTCTACATAGTGAGTTCCAGGACAGCTGGGGCTACAGGGAGACCCTGTCTCAAAAAAAAAAAAAAAAAAAAAAAAAAAATCTTTTTTTAACTTTATTATTACTGCGTGCATATAATGTAAATGTGGGTGTGCCATGGCATGTGTGGACATCAGAAGACAACTCTCAAATTGTTTTTCTCTTTTCACCTTTACCTAAGTTCCAGGGATCAAACTCAGGTAGTCAAGCTTGCGTCACAAGCACTTTACCCACTAAACCATCTCACTGGCCAAAATAAATCTTAGAAATATAACAGGGCTGGGTTGTTGAGAGCCCCAGAACCCACATGGCAGGGGAGAATCATTCTCTGACTCCGCATGTGCACCATGGCATGTACATACAGGCAAACACACATGAAAGTAATGATTGTTTTTTTTTTTTGGTCTTTTTGAGACAGGGTCTCTCTGTAGCCCCAGCTGTCCTGGAGTCACTATGTAGACCAGGCTGGCCTTGAACTCACAGAGATCCACCTCCCTCTGCCTCCTGAGTGCTGGGATTAAAGGCGTGCGCCACCATGCCCAGCAATGATTTTTTTTTATATATATATTTTGTTTATTATTTTTATTTTATGTCTACGAGTGTCTGCATGTGTTTTATGTGTCTGCATGTATGTGAGTGCACCTGTGTCGTGCAATGCCATGAGGTCAGAATTGGGCTTCGGATTCTCCTGGAACTGGAGTTAAGGATGGTTTGTAGCCGAAATGTGGGTGCTGGGAATCGAACCCGGGTCTTCTGTAAGAGCAGTCAGTGCTTTTAACAGCTGAGCCATCTCTCCAACCCCAAAAGTAATGATTTTTATTTATTTTTAAAAAATTTTATTTATTATTTTTATTTCATGTGTATGAGTGTATCGCCTGCATGTATGTGAGTGCACCCGTGTTGTGCAGTGCCGTGGAGGTCAGAAGAAGGCTTTGGATTCCCTTGGAACTGGAGTTCAGGATGGTTCATAGCCGCCATGTGGGTGCTGGGAATCAAACCCCGGTCCTCTGCAAGAGTCAGTGTTCTTAACCGCTGAGCCATTTCTCTAGCCCAAAAGTAATGATTTTTAAAAAACACCAGAGCCCAGTATGGTGGCTGCACACCTTTAATCCCAGCACTAGGGAGGCAGAGGGAGGCAGAGGGAGGCAGATCTCTGAGTTGGAGGCCAGCCTGTTCTATATAGTGAGTTCCAGGCCAGCTAAAGGGACTCTGTCTCACAAAAAGAAGACCAAATAAAACAAACACCAATCTCCATGTGTCCATGTGTCTTTGGGACCTGTTGGCTATGGCAGTCTCCCTTCCTAGCCATGGAAGAGCATATTCTTGTTTATTGGCAAAGCTGTCACCATTTCATTGGTATCAGATTCTGACTGGCACAAGTAACATTCTTTGCTGTTAAGCTGGGGGATGCCAGGTTCCTGGGTTGTTCATTGCTGATGGATAATGGAAAACCTGTAATGGTATCAAGAAAACCAAAACAATGATGGCTGAGGTCTTCAGTATCTTACAGTGGTTCTTCAGATTTAAAGTCTTGAAAAATGGTTGTTTTAAACGCCTACAGGGCACTATTTTCAATATAAGCTTGAACTTTATTTCAACTAGTATTTATATGTTTCCTGTGTATTTTAAAACTTTGTGCCCAAATGATAAAGTTAAAAAGTGATAAAGTTAAAAAAAACAAAAAAACACCAAAACTCTGGACTGAAGATATAGCTTGGTAGTACAGCTCTTACCTAGCCTTGGGTTTGATCCACAGCAACACATGCGCGCGCGCACACACACACACACACACACACACACACACACACACATTATTGTGGATGGGGTTCACTTGTGTGTACTTGTGCCATGCTGTGCCTGTGGAGGTCAGAGGAAACTTGAGGGAGTCCGTTCTCTCCACCCTGTGGGTCCTGGGGATCCAACTCTGGTTGTCAGGCTTGGCAACAAGTACCTTTACTTGCTGAGCTACCTTACTGTTCTGTTTTTGTTGTTTTTTACATAGGTTCTCACGCTGGCCTTGAACTTACTATGTAGCCAAGGATATCCTTGAACTCCTGATCCTCCTGCCTCTACCTCTCAAGTGCTGGAATTGCAGGTTGCACCACCACATCTGGCTTCTTTCTGGTTTCCATCCACTCCCCAAGGGAGAACAGTCTCTCCTCTTAGGCACAATAGTCCCTTACGCTACTGAGAACTTTTGAAGTTTAAGAAGTGCTGTAGTTACTTCTTTCTTGTCCTAGATGCAACTCCAGGGGTAGGTGCAAGACCTGTTCCCTCCATGTTACTGGTTGGGAAGTGATCTGAGAAGTCCCAGGGCTGCCTGTTGACACACATGCTGAACAATATTGCAGGATTTGGGTGGGTTCTGGTCTTTCCACTTATACATGTGATACTTTAGGCCATGTGTAGCCCTGGTGAGGCCTGAGGCTCAGGACACATGGCACAGCTAGTCGGCCCTTAAGCCCCCCTCCCCCCACCCCCGGGGGGAGTCACCAGGCAAGGACTCCAATTGAGGGGGTAGGATAGTCCAACAGGCAGAGAGAGGGGGTCAGATAGAAGACTAATGCCTGGACCAAGAAAGGGAGCTCGCACTCTCTGTCTCTTCCTCCTTCTCCTCTTCACTTTTCCTTCCTCTTTTTCGTGTGTGTGTGTGTGTGTGTGTGTGTGTGTGTGTGTGTGTGTAAGTGTGTAAGTGTAAATCCTACTCCAAGGAGAAATTCCACCCCCTCACCCTTGCTAACCCCACAAAACCTCATCCACAGTTTTTTTGGCCCCTGGAAGCTGACCCTTGAAGGGAGGCTCCTCTACCTCTGCTCCCCACACACAGGATTTGGAGGTTCCTCAGTGACTGGGGGCCTACCAGCAGGCAGGGCAAATCAGGAGAGTGACCATCATTTTT